GGGTTTGAGTTTTACTAGCTATGCTATTGGAAATCGTTTCGCTAATAATTTTAATGGCATGTTGTATCAAGAGCAAGGATTCGGTAGTGGTCGAGGGCACCTAAGTGGTTTAGAATGCCTCAGTTTTCAGCAAATTGGAAGATTAGAAGGAAACACTTTTCACGGTTGTGGAAGATTTGGTACATATTTACTCGCAAGTGTGTTCACAAAAAAAACCGACAGATCGGTTGATAAAAATGGTTTACCAACTTTAAGCACATGTCAAGAATGGACTGCAAGTGGTGAAGATAACGGATTACCAGCGACATTTATGCATAATATAGATTATGACAATGTATTTGTAGGCCAATATAATGCTGGTGATTTACAGTATCGATTCCATACAAGTATTAATAACAACAATTTGATTTACTGGAAAGAAACAAAAAATTTTCAAGACGGTTGTTCCTCTCATATTGCTGACTCGTTTTATGACTCAGGCAATTTGGCTTTGCCTGGTGGTCATGGAGCGTTTATTTTGGAAAATATGATTTTCAATAACCGAGTTCACTTTGAGTCAAGCCATCATTGTCAAATTGGAGTAACTGTAAGGTATTTGCTGTATAATTTAACCAGAAATTGAGAACTTGAGTATTTATTTCTGCAGGTCAATGGAGGCCAATTCGACATGAATCTAACGAGTAAACAAGGTTATATTTACATTAAAAATAATGGTCTCAAGCATCCGACGATTCAAACTCGTGCCTTTGGTTCCTATAATGCCGGTAAAATACATGTTAGTGGTCGCTCTCTTGCTAGAACGTGGTCTTTACTAGCTGATAGAGCTACATACGGTATGAGTTCAATTAGTCTCTTACACAAACCTGAAGATATGGTTAGTGTAGAATTTCTCAGTGTTTTTCATTATACTGTAAACGTTTATTGTACTTTAGGGCTGGAAAGTTGGTGATAGAATTGTTATAGCTCCAACTATGCCATCCTCAAGAGGGGATGCTGAAGATTACACGATTGGAGGATTCGAAGCTAATAATACTATAAAATTGCTTAATAAAGGCGGAACTTCTATTGGTGTTATATCGTCATTTTTTGAGTCAAAAACCGTGTATACAGGCGAAAATATGTCTGCTCTCATGCAAGCTGAAGTCATTAACCTTTCGCGTAATATTATAATTACCGGCGACGATTTTCAGCATGTTAATTGCG